ATATATATATATATATATATATATATATATATATAAAGAAAAATAATCCTGCACTCCATATATTTCAATAATACTTGCCCGGTACTTGTCAAGCAAAAATACAGAATGAGTAATCGAGATAGCAGTCCCAGGACTTTGCATGAAGTAAAACTTAGCTTTTAATGAGCTTTTGAAAAAAAAATCAGTCGACGTTTCAGTCTGTTATTCACAGACTTTCATCAGGACTAACAAATACAGTACAAGTGCTGACATATATACACAGATACATACAAACAATTAACTTACCCACCACCGGTATATTCTACTCCCTGTCAGCCCCGTCTGAATCCAGCGCGGGTTCCGCCGGAGTCAGTGCATGACGTCATCATGTGATGTCGACATCATTACCTCATCACGTAAGCGACCGTTCGATGGCCTTATTGGGAGATGGTTGTCATAGAAACACCATCCACCGCAACATATATAAAAATGATAAAAATTACACAGTAGCTGAGGATACAAAACAGGCAATGCTACAATGTGTAAACCACAATGCAATTAATATTACTGCACACATTATATCATAGTGAAGTAAATAATCCATATTCAATATTATTTCATAGCATTTGCAGATATAGAAAGAAAAAGAGAAAAATTAAAAATCCTAAAAAAAACAATATAGGATACACCATAGGGTGCTACATAGATTACATAGTGCAGTGTTTTTCAACCTTTTTTGGGCAAAGGCACACTTGTTTCATGAAAAAAATCACAAGGCACACCACCATTAGAAAATGTTAAAAAATTTAACTCTGTGCCTATATTGACTATATATATATATAAAGTAATTCTCTTGAATAGGAATCAAATAAACACAAAGAAAGTATTTTATAATTACTTTATTATGAAATAGTAAGTAAACAGAAATATGAAAAATTATAAAATACTTTATTCAGTGCGCAACCTGGGCCTGTTTGGCTGAACACAAAGCTGATATTCTGGCTGGAATCGAAGAAAGACACACACGTAGCTCTTCGTCAACAGCTCTCAGTCTCTCTCTGTATTTAGTTTTTATAGCAATCATGCTTGAAAAGCTCATCTCACACAGATATGTAGTGGAAAATGGGAGCAATGTCAAAATAGCTTTGTTTGCCAGAAGGGGGAACCCCTTGGCAGTATCCAACCAAAAACTGTCCAAAGGTAGATCAGCAAATCTTAGCTTGAAACCACGATTTTGTCTCAGTTCAGTTAGTTCCTCCTGCTCCTGTAAAGTCAGGTCCTTTCCACCAACTGAGCTATAAGGGTCCCTAACCCAGTCAAGGCATTCAGTGGAGACTGAAGAGAAATAAAATGACAACTTCTCCTCGAGAGTTTTTAAATGTTTAACTATTATCTCACACAGTGCAGCAGTGTGAACACCTTGCCATTGCTTGGTGAGTGTGAACATTTCAAGATTGCCACTTTCCACGTGTTGATGCCAGAGTTGCACCTTTGAACGGAATCTATTTATTTTATCTGTACTTGTAAGCAGGTTTTCATTTCGGCCTTGCATTCGGGTGTTCAGTTCATTGAGATGATGAAATATATCTGCCAGGTATGCCAGCCTTGCACACCACTCATCACTTGCAAGCAGCTTTGCGTAATCTGACCTCTCATTTGTCAGAAACACTTTAAGTTCCTCCCGCAGCTCATACACACGAACCAAGACCTTGCCACGTGACAACCACCAGACCTCCGTATGAAACAGCAAGGTTTTATGCTTCGCTCCCATCTCCTCACACAAAGCTGCAAATATGCGACTTTTCACGGGTCGTGACTTTACAAAGTTTACCATGCGCACAACATCATCTAACACATGAACTAGGTCTGCTGGTAAAGTCTTGGCTACGAGGGCCTCACTGTGTAAAAAACTATGCGTAACAATCACATCTGGATTTCTTTCCTTCACTCTGCTTACAAAGCCTTTGGTGCGCCCGACCATGGCTGCAGCTCCATCGGTGCAGACACTTGTGCAGTTTTCCCACTTAAGTCCTCGTTGTTCAAGGTATTCTGATGTGACCCGAAAAATTTCTTCTCCTGTTGTTTTTTCTGGCAATGCCTTGCAAAAAAAGAAGTTTTCTCTAATTGCATCACCATCAACAAAACGCACATTGGCCAAGAGTTGAGCATGTCCACTGATATCAGTAGACTCGTCAAGTTGCAATGCAAATTTCTCACTGACACGGATCTTTTCCAAAACCACACTTTCGATGTCTGTAGACATGTCATTAATACGTCTGGAAATTGTGTTGTCTGAGAGAGGGACTTTGGCTATTTCCTTAGCTGCTTCAGGTCCGAGCATCTCCTCTACAATAGCTTTGCAGGCGGGAAGTATTAATGTCTCTGCCCCAGTGTGCGACTTTTTTGACTTGGCTATAAGTTCAGCAACTTGATAGCTAGCTTTAAGAGCTCTTTCATTTACCTTTGTGGTTTTTCTCATGAAAGTTGCCTGTTTCTCCGTGTTTTCACGCAGGCGAACAAAATAGTCCGCATTCTTGTTTTGAAGCGAAGCACTGTGTGCAGAGAGGGAGATGTCAGAGCCCCGCTGCTCTCTATGGGGAATCGGATGAGAGCGGACCGCCTGTCCGCTCAAATCCGATCCCATCCGATCTGATCTCCACCAAGGACGGGTGGAAAATAGGGTTTCCATCCGTCCGGATTTCACGGACAGGATCGGATGCGGATGGCAGCGGGTGTCAGCAGACATGTCACCGCTGACATCCGCTGCTCCATAGGGCTGAATAGGGCATCCAATCAGATCTGACAGGCGGAAGCCCCTTTATAGTAATAGGCATTGCTGTGTCTCTCCCTCCCCCCCCCTTTCCCTGTGTCTCTCCCTCCCTCCTCTTTCCCTGTGTCTCTCCCCCCGCTTCCCTATGTCTCTCCCTCCCCCCTTTCCCTGTTTCTCCCTCCCCCCACCATGTCTCTCCCTCCCCCCCTCTCTCCCTCCCCTTTCCTGTGTCTCTCCTCCCTCCTCTTTCCTGTGTTTTTACCCCTGCTTCCCTATGTCTCTCCCTCCCTCCTTCCTTTCCCTGTCTCTCCCATCTCCCTCCCTCCTTTCTTTCCCTGTCTCTCCCATCTCCCTCCCTCCCTCCCTCCTTTCCCTGTCTCTCCCTCCCCCCCTTCCCTGTCTCTCCCATCTCTCTCCCTCCCCCCTTTCCCTGTGTCTCTCCCCTCTCCCTATTCCCCTCACCATCTCTCCCTCCCCCTTTCCCTGTGTCTCTCCTCCCCCCTTTCCCTGTGTCCCTCCTCCCCCCCTTTCCCTGTCTCTCCTCCCTCCCACTTTTCCCTGTGTCTCTCCCTCCCCTTTCCTGTGTCTCTCCCTCCCCCCCTTTCCCTGTCTCTCCCTCCCTCCCCCCCTTTCCCTGTGTCTCTCCTTTCCTGTCTCTCCCTCCCCCCTTTCCCTGTGTCTCTCCCCTCCTCCCCCCTTTCCCTGTGTCTCTCCCCATCTCTCTCCCTCCCCCCTTTCCCTGTGTCTCTCCCCATCTCTCTCCCCCCCTTTCCCTGTGTCTCTCCCCTTCTCCCTCCCCACTTTCCCTGTGTCTCTCCCTCCTCCCACCTTTCCTGTGTCTCTCCCTCCCACCCCCCCCTTTTCCCTGTGTCTCGCTCTCCTCCCCCCTTTCCTGTGTCTCCCCCTTCCCTATCTCCTCCCCCAATTTACACCTTAGAAGGCGGGGGCCGGCCGCATTCCAGACTGGAGCCGCCAGGCCGGGTGGCAGCTTCGCCGGTCCGGCGGCACTCCAGTCTCTGGCTGCTGATGGCTGATGGAGGAGGAGCCTGTCTAGCCAGTGACTGGAGTGCCGCCGGACTGGCGAAGCTGCCACCCGGCCCGGCGGCTCCAGTCTGGAATGCGGCCAGCCCCCTCTCAGTGTGCCACTGGACCGGCCACCCGATGGCACGTATGTGCCCTCGCAGCCCCCAGGTGCCCACCAGGAAATTTCCCAGTATCCCGGTGGGCCAGTCCGGCCCTGATCACAGCCCGGACATCAGAACATCAGACATCCCACGGCACACCAGGCAACATCTCAGTGGTTGAAAAACACTGACATAGTGGAATGATAGGAGACAGACTGTCCTGCAAATGGGTGAGACTGTAATAAGCCAAAAAATCACCATTTAATGGAATCCCATGCTGATCAGTACTTATCATAGAGGGTTGAACAATATTCTGTAGAAAAGAATGGAGACATAGTCCTAACATACTTGATGATTTAGGAGTTAAATTGAGGTCTCTAATATAGAATTATCAAAAATAATAAAAAGGATAAACCTCCACCAAAACTTAAGACATACGCTTTACTTTATAAGACAAAGCCAATTGCCCACCTCTCTAATGATATTGTGGGAATGGGACTAAGCCCAGCCTAATAGGTACCAACTACCATATCTGAAACAGAACCCAAATAAATACCATAGACTTGTTAAAGGTATAGCATGAACATATTGAAGAATTAAAGATGCACAATATCTGTATCATTATTATGCCATCATCTATTTGGGAAAAATTGGGTACATGCCTCTCCCCCAGGGTGGGCATAGTCCCCCCAGTACCATGAAATCCGGCCTATCAAACCACAAAAATGTATATGTGCATTCAACGGGCCTGAGGGTTAATGGCATAATAGTGGAGTACATGATACTCACTAGTTGGAGAACAAACATATTGAGTTTCAAGGATAGTAATAATAATAAAATAATAATAATAATAGTAGCCTAACCCGAATGGGTGGGCTCCAAATACCACACTCCAGATGATGTATAAGTATATCCAACCTCGAACCAACAGGTCCCTACTGCACCAAAGGGAATAACCATCATCTATCTGGGCCAAAGAGATGGTAGCTTGACCCAAAGGGTGAGCTTCAATCCCCCGCACCAGAATACATCAAGTTGAATGTGACCTATAAACAACTCTAAGTTAGAGAAAAACATACAATGAGTACATTTCATTCAGCCCATCAGGGTGAACAGCTTGTACTGTTCTAATCCAATACAACTCGCGCTGTAGAAGCACGGTCCCCATCCCTCCTGGGTAAAGGAACATGGTCAATGGCTATCAGCTTCATGGATGGTAGAGTATGTCCCAATTCTAGAAAGTGCTTTGCCACCGGTAATTCGGACTTGTTGTCTCTGTATGCAGTCCTGATACTTGACCTGTAATTTCTAATCCGTTCTCTCAACGGTAGGTCTGTCTTCCCAACATAAGTCAGACCACAGGGATGCACCAATTTATAAACCACAAAGTCACTTGTACATGTAAGACGATGTTGTATCCGGAACATTTGACCAGTGTAAGGATAAGTAAATGTCTTCCCTGGGATCATGTGTCCACAAGTGACACATTCTAAACAGCGGTAGCAACCCAAATTTTGAGGCGTTCTTTCCTTTGAGTAACAATGTATCGGGTCCGTGTTGACTAATAGGTCCCTCAAATTTTTGTTCCTCTTGTAGCACAGCATAGGAGCTTCCCGAAATTCTGAAGGTAGTGTAACATCGTTCCTTTAAACTCTCCGATTATCATGGATGATCTGTTTGAATTTTAAGATGCTGTGGTGTAGGTCGTAGGAAATACCAGTCTATTGGTTTGTGTTTGTTCAGTAGGGGTTCCTGCTGTCACCAAGCACTTGTGTAGAACTTTATATAATACACAACTGTTGTAGCCACGTTGCTGGAATTTATCCCACATGATACAGAGTTGGTCTTGGGCTTTCTTTTGATCGGAATTATTCCTCAAAACTCTCAAGAATTGCAAGTAAGGTAGAGGTTTTTTTTAAGTGAGTTTGGATAAAAACTATTTGCCTGGAGCAAAGTATTGCGTTGGTTTGGAGAACAGTGTGTATGCCAGGCTTGTTCCTTCCCGTAGTACTCTAACATCCAGGAAATCCACAGAAGATGGATCGGTCACAGCAGTCAATTCAATATTAGAAGTACATAGGTTAATGGACTGTATCATGTCCTCCACCTCAGATATTGCCCCCTTGATAAGCATAAAGATGTCGTCGATGTACCAAACGTACATCAGAATGCGATTTTTATAGAGTTTCAAGATATAGCTTGTTTCGAAAATATACATATATCCGTTTGCATACATGGGTGCCATTGCTGCACCCATGGAAGTCCCCGCAACTTGCCTATACCAGTCAAATTCAAACCTGAAATAGTTCTGGGAGAGCACAATTTCCAGGAGCTCTAATGTGAATTCTATTGGAGTACCAGAATAATAGGTGGATACAGAAAGTATCAATCACATTGCTTGTATCCCATCCTGGTGAGGAATTACCGTGGACAAGCTTTTCACATTGCAAGTTACCAAAACCAACGGTTCCAAAGGCAGTGTCATCTCAGATAGTTGTTGAATAAAACTGGGAGAATGGACCACAATTGGACGACCCGGTGGCTTTCCTTTGTTTTTGTGGACTTTGGGCAGCGTATAAATCACTGGAGTTCTTGGCGTTGTTGGTTGTAGATATAGATATGTGTCTGCAGAGATGAAGTTGGAATGTAGACCTCTTAGTAAGCAGTTTTCTATAAGGTTGATGACTTGCCCTATCGGGTCGTTTGGCAGTTTATTGTATGTATGCTGATCCGCCAGGTGTTGTAGAATCTCACCACGATAGTCAGAATAATTCTGAGTGACTATGCCGCAACCCTTATCGGCTGATCTGATTACAATATATTTGTCTCCAGATAGGGACTTTATGACCCCCCGATCTTTCCTAGTACAATTGGAATGGTAAGGATGGTTAACCTGAGGTAATCTGATAACTCTTTTTGTAAAGGACTTAATAGAAGCCTGGTTGGGCATAGGATCAAAGGTGCTTTTCTTCTTGAATTGATGTATAGGATTGGGACTATCTGAGGTTTTGGACTTGAAAAAGTCTCTCACTCTTAAACACCGGACAAATTTGTACAGTTCCACTTCCCAATCAAGTGGGTTTGGCCGTGAAGTGGGGACAAAAGAAAGTCATCTACTCAATAGATTGAATTTATCCATTGATAGAGGTCTGGATGACAAACCTCTATCCATTGAATTTATCCATTGATAGAGGTCTGGATGACAATCTCGGCTTATTGATCATTAAAGTGCACATATACGTTTTTGTGCTTTGATAGGCCGGATTTCATAGTACTGGGGGAACTATGCCCACCCTGGGGGAGAGGCATGTACCTAATGTTTCCCAAATAGATGATGGCATAAAAGATATATGTGAAAAACAAGACAGATATAATCACTAAAGTGCAAATATAATACGTAAAAACTAAAAGTGTTCCCAGGTGTACCTCACAAAACATCTAATTATACAATGAAACAAAACCAAAAGTGGGAAAAACCTAGTGTACATATAAAATATATGTAAACCACCTGGAAAAGCCAACCAGGATCAGTAGGTCAATTGAAGATCTATAATAATAATGAACAAAACAGCGTAATATAATTTAAACAAAATAATAAATGTGGTGTAAGTAGAAAACGCACAAACAAATGATGGTATCAGGCTTATCACCCCTCCTGGGATTAAATGGATCAGGAAAAATTCTGGATGATGTAGAAGATGTAGATCCTTGTGTGTATAAAAGGAAACAAGACCGCATATGGTGAAGTAAAATAACAACTTGGAAAATTTATTTAGAATGCACTTACAGACTGAAGGTAAATTAAAATCATATCTCCACTCAATATGGAATGCAGCAGCAGCTTGATGACTGGAGAGGAATGCCAGGCAGCAGCATAAGGTAGTAAAAATAAATAAAATATCAAGAATATAAAAGACAAAAAAGTCCACAATAAGCTAGGATCCAACTCGTTTTGTCCGACGAGAGGGACTTCTTCAGGGATCTGTGATAGCTTCTGGTGATAAGGAACCTCTTATAAAGCCAGACTGATCGATAAATCCCTTCCAGTTGATGGTGTGCATTCCACTGTGGGACGCAAAGACATGTCTTCTCTATAGCCGGGTGCCGACATGTGTCAAAAGATTATGGCACTCGACATGAACAGAGTCTATTTGCGCGTGCGCATGTTCCGCAATGGGAAAATACATGCGCACACACATAAAATGGGCAACCCTATAGTAGTTGGGAGTGTTATAAACAAGAATAAAATAATTATAAAAAGGAAAAAAATAAGTATAAATATGAAAAGAAGGGGGGCGGAGCTTGACCGCCACGCGGAGAGGCCGCAAGCACTCAGGGCTGAATTTAAGCCTTCCTTGCCACAATCCAGCCAGGCTAGACAGGCTCTACAACTACTCACCCCATGGAGTCCCTGATGGAAACAAGACTGGGACAATATTAGCACTCCTGAGGCACCAGCCAAGGCAGGTCCGACCTGCGGCCTAGCAGTTGATGCAGGGCTGGGGATGCGGCCGGTCCTCCAGCCCCAAAGTCCTGCAGATGCAGAACCTCCTTCCCCTTGGACCGTCGGGGGTCATCGCGGTCCACCACGGCACGTTCACGAGCATGGGCATACAAGTACAGGCCCTGTTGGATGGCCACAGGAAGGTGGAAGCAACAACACCCCGCTCACTTAAGATGGTGGCGGTCTACAACCCGACGAACCCCACAAGCAACACGGCCTCACACACCAGGGATGCCAATGACTGTGCGAATGGCAGGAAAGGACAGTGGCAGTAACCCCACAGAGGACGTAGCCCTGGGGGAGACAAAGTGGAGGAGAAAGCCCCAAAGCATGCAATGACAAGAGGCCTTATCCACTCCCTCAGGCACCAAACGACGGCACACAGACCGTAATGGCAACCACGCAACCCGGTGGCATCCAGCCCCGTCCCCTCCCTAGCCACAACCTGGGAGTATTAGAGACAGCCACAAACAATGGCGAAGACTCACCCTGGGACTCATACCTAACTTGAAGAACATTCTCAGCAACTTATCCAGCCGTATGCCGCCTTTGCTCTAGCCACTAGGAGTCACCAAGCGGGCAGCTGATCCAAACCAACGAAAAATCCTGTGCATCAACACCTGCAGTCTCCAGCGCAGGCATCAGCTGACCCCACAGGGCCTGACCGGCTCTACCACACACAGAGCGCTCCGGGGTATACATTATGTGGACTCTCCATATGACTTAAGCGTTACAATGTTTTACAATGCATACTCACTAATTGCATGTTTAAACTTGCTAATCTATATACTCAGACAACCTAGTCTGTAACACTAGCGACACTGCCACGTGTAGACTAAGCTTGTTCAAAAGCTTTACAATGCTCAACCTGCATGGCTAATGTTGCAAGGTTATATTGTTTATTCCTCTCTGACACCAGCTGAATTTACATATTCTTGCTAGCCTAAGTTTTCTCTGCCCTTTTTCATTTAATTTCACATTATTTTAGCTGGCATTAAGTTTCCCATGCCTGCATCATTATAATTAAGCTGTATCCTTTATATCGCCCAGCTGGCAGCCGTAGCATACATGTAAAAAGGCCTCATATGTTACTCAGCCTACTTACGCTGCAGCAAGCATGTGTACTTATATAGAATATTAGACAATGACTACACTAGGCTTAACCAACATGTTTAACGCTCTTTATGTTCACTTGCAATTAGGGCACAGCAGATACGTACTCAGTAGTGAAATAGTCTAACCGCACTAGCTTGATCTACGAATTAGCATTTTGATACAACATTTATTGTACTGTTACAAGCGTTGCCTCAGTATTGTTTATCGTTACATAAGCGAGAATCTTAATAACTTAAAAAATGTGCCTGACTAACGTATGTCAAGACTTGTATTGCAAATGTTTTCCAACTTACCCTGATTATCGCTGTTGTGGTGCACAACAAAAATAAAGAATTTAAAAAAAAAAAAATGAAAAGAAAAAGAAACTAAAAAAATTTAAGAAAAATAAAATAAAAATACTAATTAAAATAAATAAATTAAAATAAAAAAAGATAAAAATGGGGGGGTGGAGCCTGCCACCAGACCCATGCGGACGCTATTTCACTCTGCTCCCAACCCTTAAAATATAATCCACAATAAATCAAACTTTCCAGCACCCATCCAGCCCTGCCACATACCAAACGGGCACCAGCACAGCACACCGCACCATCAGATGCCTTTCTTCCAGCTGCAACGGCAGCAGAAACGGAGACGCAAGATTGGGGCCTACCCAACGCCATCGATCCTCGGCCTTGACGAAATCCTACGCGGATACCCAACGGAGCTCAGGAACATTAACTACCCGCAGGAGCAACCCACCGTCCTTGCTCACACACCAGCCATGGGACGCGGCTCCCAAAAACCACAAGGTACGACAGGGGACAGGGATATAGGGGCTATGTTACAACGGCCTGCTAACTCTAAGCCAGCTGCCATGACAGTAAGGCCGGACTTTACCCAGGCACCCACTGCAGCCCAGCAGAGCCCCGAAATAACTGGCTTACCCCAGACAGGCCTGCCGGATAAGGAAACCAGATCCTGGCCCCTCTGAGCTCCCCCAGACAC